TATGTATGTGTGTATGTATGTATGTATGTATGTATGTATGTATGTATGTATGTATGTGTGTGTGTGTATGTATGTATGTATGTATGTATGTATGTGTGTGTGTATGCAATGTATGCATGTATGTAATGTATGTATGTAGGTAGGAATGTGTGTATGTATGTATGTATGTATGCAAGTAAGAAAGTAAGTAAGTAAGCAAGTAAGTAAGTAAGTAATGTAATGGAATGTAGTGTGATGTAATGTAATGTAATACAATGTAATGTAATGTAATGTATGTATGTATGTATGTATCTATGTATCTATGTATCTATGTATCTATGTATGTATGTATGTATGTATGTATGTATGTATGTATGTATGTATGTATGTATGTATGTATGTATGTATGTATGTATGTATGTAATGTATGTATGCATGCATGCATGCATGCATGCATGTATGTATGTATGTATATGTATCCTTGCACTTTCCCTTTGCTCCCCAGTGTTTCCCGCAAAAACACGGTTGTTCCAGCGTTTTCGCAAAGAGGACGTCCAAAAACACAGAGTTTTTCGGCAAAAGGATGCAGGAAGCCCAAGCCAGCAAAAAAAGCCGGCAGGGGGAATCGAGCCTGGGACCCCTGTTTTGCGACACCGGCTCCCGTGCGCGGGGGAGGGGGGGGTGGTGACGACCGAAAAACCCGACGTAATTGACGTGTCCCTGAAAGGGGTATCCTCTATCCTCTCTTAGGTATCCGACACGCCGAACAATGTCGGCGGACTCAGTACAATCCACGCACACGACTGAGACAGAAAACAGCACCACCAACAGTACAGGACACAGCAGCAGCACACACACCAAAGGTGTACATCATGGAGGAGACTACTGGCGCAGAGAAGGCCCATACTGGAAGAGAGTACACATCAAGCCACACACACAGAGCGTTTTACACACCAGAGCAGACACATGACGGGCCAGACATTAAGCGGCTTACAGCTTGCAAACAGACCAAGGTACAACCGGTAGGAGAGGCGAAGATGAATGGACAACACAGGAAGCAAAGACATCAGACAAGCGTCGGACAGGCTGGGCAAACTTCGAGGAACATCAGGAATTTCCAACACAACTTGAGTCAGATGATGAGGAACAACAGCAAGGCGCAAGAGCAAAAGCAGCACAAGCACCCAAGCAACCAACACCACAAGAGATACTCGAGCACAACGTGACACACCTTCCTTACAGGAGTTGGTGTCCAATATGCGTACAAGCAAGAGGCAGACAGCGCACTCGCCCAAAGCAACACAGCAAGCTTCCAATCACACAGCTTGACTTCGGCTGCAGCAAGGGCTTTGATGACAGCAACAGTCCTCACAGCAATTGGCATCCCATCAGGGGTGATCATGGCCGCACAACTGACCAACAAGAGGATGCTCTTCGACTACGCAGTCACGCAACTACAGCACTTCCTCATTGAATGTGGAAGAACATCACAACCAGATCAGGAGACTTCCTGACAGCGCTGATCACAGCAATGACAAACAAGAATAACAACATCACCACAAGGAACTCAGGAGCATACAGTTCACAATCACAAGGAGGAGTAGAGTGAGCGCACAGAACGCTGCTTGCGCAAACAGAACTACAACAGACAGAGACATTCCACTGGAACATCCACTCATGCCTTGGAGAGTTCGACGCAGCGCACGCATCGTGAACAGATTTGCGACCCGCAGCAATGGATGCACAAGCTGCTTCAACAAAGAAAACAGAGAGAAACATACACCACTTCGCGAGTTTGGTGAGACAGTGCAGCACAGTGGGATGCTTCATCCACACTTGCTTGCCACGGAAGGCGACTTTGAGGGCTTGTGAGGATGAGACAGCTACAGATGGTTAACAGACACCTGGTGCAGGCACATCTTCAGTGCCCTAACAACGGCAAGCCCCCCCCCCTATCATCCGATGGAGAAGGCTTCATGGAGGCCTATTCAAGTATGGCCAAAACATCCGGCTATACGGAGGAAACACTCAACTTATCGATGACAGCCAAGCAGCCGCCATCGTACGACGGAAAAGTCAGCTGGTTGAGGTATGAAGAACTCGTGGCCAGGGACAATCCATCCTCCAATCATCCATATTGGCATACTCCGGAATAGATCCAGGGACCGCATAAACGACCTCTACTACCACAGGGCACCAGTTCCCTTCTGGGATAGGCACCCCCGGCCGTGGGCCTCAATTTGTGGTAGCGGAGAAGGTTTTCCGCAGAGATCCAAGGAAAAATAATGGCCACATCACCAACACATCAGAAACGACCAGAATCGCAGCACCACCGCCTACAGCGCACGCAGGAGAAAGAGACGACGCAGTAGCAGAAGGCAGCGCAAACAAGCAACAGCGCACCACAGCAGACAGACAAGCGCTGGAGCGGCCTACAACAACAGAACAACCAATCGGCGACATGAGGATGAATGCCATCAAGTTTACAACCAGACATGGCAAACAAACGGAGACAACACCCAGCGAGGATACAGAAGAAACCGACAACGAACGGATCCTACTAGAGCCGATCACACATGACACAGAAGGCTTGGACCCGCAACTCGTTTCACAAGGCACGAATAAAGAAGTTCAACAAATGAAAGACCAATCAGTCTTTACAGAGATTGATGGCAACACAATGACACCAGAATAACGAGCAAGCACCATTAAATCAAGATGGGTTCTTAAACCAAAACACAACGAAACACGAAGGGCTACACAGAACCCGTCACAGACCATGACATACTCTTTGCAAGCACACCACTGTTTTGCACACTGAGGGTACTCCTCACAATGGCACTTGTGTACAACTGGTCAGTCTGTGCCGGAGATGTCAGTGTTGCATTCCTACATGCAGCAGCAATCTCATAGAACTTGGCAATCAACACAGTTACACTTGAACTTGTGAGACGCGCGACAGAAAGCAATGTCTACAGGTCAAAGGACTGCCAGGTCTACATCATGATCTGTGTAGACGACCTCCTATTCACAGAAGTACAGAGAATTGTTTACACACACAAGCGACCTCAATGTAGGCACAACAATGCATTTCCTTGGCAGGAGTTTCGCACAAAGGCAACTACATCGACAAAAGCTTGAACAACAACTACGTTGACATCATCCTGGAAGAATCAGGAATGACAACATGCGACCCAGCACAATCGCCAGGAGTGTCACACATGAGAGGTACAGCAGAAGATGAACACGAACAGCAGCACTTGTTGGCAAGGTACAATGGCTAGCGTGCACACGACCAGACATCAGGTATGGAGCAAACGAACTAGCAAGATCGCTACAAGCACCAACACAGTTTGACAACAAGAAGCTCAAACACATGACAAGGTACCTTAAAAGCACAAGGTGCTTGCGACACGGCCTGCAACCAAAGATACAGACACAGGACAAGCGAATCCCACTCAACAGCGACACACACAGATGCCAACTGGGCATCACGCTCGAAAACAAGGAAGAGAGCAACAGGATTTGTGACACGTCTCTTCGGAGCAGCAATGCACTTATGGAAGCAGAACGCAAGCAACAGTAGCACTTTCATCAGCAGAGTCAGAGCTGTGCGCAATTGGTACAGCAGCGCAGGAGAGCCTCTACATCAGCAACTTCATCAAGGAAGCATTTGGAGTACGCACCAACATCAGGATGCACACAGACGGCAGAGCAGCTAAGTCAACCACGATGCGAGAAGGTGCATCAAAGAAAGCAAACCACATTCAGCTGCGACGCTGGAGTGGCACATCGAGAAGATCACAGGTACAAACGGTGTTTTGTACATCTTTTTTCACTGCAGAGGAATTCAACACTTTGATCCACAACACCAGTCCATTTGATGCTCTCGCAACTTTGACCTACCTCTTCAGAGCACAAGATTTGCCAGCGCAATTTCCTCGACATCTTCATGGACTAACGGTTTGGCTTGGGGTTACAACGCCATGGTCAGCTTGAGCCACCTACAGGCTGCAACATGTGACTGAGTACACGGGTCTACAGATCCTCAAGTACATCAGCCAGGTGAACAAAGTCGTACATCGCAGCAGCAACCAACATGGACGAGGTTACAGCAGTGTCTGGAAAGAGGCCAAGAAATGCGTGAACATCATGGTTCACACAGCTGCGATTTTTGGCGCTGCACTGTTTTACACCTGCTTTTGACACCACGACGCAAAAGGAAGTTGCGCAGCTTGGTACACATCTTTTGTACAGTGGCAACATCCATTTTCAACATTCCAGGAGAATGTGTACAACATTATCCTGAGGAGGCGTGTTAAATACTACATGCTTTCTCTAGCAGCACAGTTGGCTACATCCGCTGCCCATGCATCCCAAGGCCTTATGTACAGACCTGCCTTAGTACAGCTACAGTAGCCAGTACATCATTGCCCAGAGGAAAACAACTGCCTTCACTTCACGGACAGGTTCATCACAAGGTAATTAGGTATACAGATGCTCCAAGATATCTATTTGTGTATACAACATATTTGTGTTTGCCGGACATGGGCGGCTAAGAGCTTCGCCCTCCAGGCGACGCCAAGGCGCCAGCAACTCCGCCGCGGAGCCGCATCAAGGGCCGCGTGGCGCGGGGCTCGCACTGTGCCTGACACAAAGATGATAGAGGCAAAAGTGCCAAGGTGACGGGCCAGACCCGGCCAAAGCACTCCCGAAAGCCTTCAGGGCTTCAGTGAGGGAGCGCTGGACGTTTCAACTTCGTGGTGCTGGGGGAGCAGTGCGGCGCTAGCCTGACCACTGGCCAAACCTGTTCGGACATTTTCTTCTGGGCCTTCAAGAAGCCAAGCCGCACAGATATGGCATGAACTGAATCAGACTTTGCGCCCTGAACCACTGCGAGACAGAGCTCCAGTTGTATGTTGCTTGGGGACAAAGAGAGCGTGCGCCAACCGCGAAGCAACAGACCCACCCACACGTTGGAGTTTCGATTTCCCTTCCCGGACTGAATTCGCGACTCGCAGGAGCACGAGCAGAGCCGTCCGGAGCAGGCCAGGGATTTCCAGTTTCTTTGGCCTTCTTCGGGGTCTTGGGGCCAAAGCAAAGAAGAGAAACCCCCGTAGGCCGTGGAGCCTGCGCAGGATCCTGAGGCCTGGGGGGTCTGGAGGGTCTGGGGGGAGGTTCGGCGTATCGTAAATGCAGCACACCCGCAGCTTAAGCACAATCTCTAGCTCTTGAGTTCCACCTCGTTGGTCGGCCTAACCCGCCGCTTGAGTTCAAGTTCCTGGCAATCGCTTTGCACTGCAGCCCAGCAGACTGCTCAAGCGCGCATTGCTCGTATGGTTCTTTTAAGCCTAACCAAGGGCGAAGCTGAGCAAACGTTGAGCCGTGCCAAAACAACTGGATAGCGCTGATGGTTGGCACAGACAATCACTGCCTGGCTTGTTTCAGGCTGGCTGAGCTGAACTGTTCGAAAGCTGGAGTTAGGGTTGGGGGCTCGGTTGAGCGCGCGTCTCGGTGATTGGGGCTTGGTCTGGGCAGCTGCTGCGCCGGGACCTGGGGTTGGGGGGCCAGCGTGAAGCTGCGTGCTGAACTGCGTTGGGACAGAGGTTGGGGCGGTGCGGGGCTAGGTGACGGCTGGAGGAGCTGGGGGCCGGGGGTGGCGGCTGGGGCTGGCTGACAGCCACGTGAAGGCAACCGGAAGCGGCCTCTAAAAAGCAATGAACATCAGCCATCCTCGGTCAACTCTGAATCGGGCCAGTGCACGTGTTCAAACTGAGGGTGCTGGGCTCAGTGTCTAGGCTGCATGGACTTGTGGGCTTTGCGCACATAGCTCTTACGAGCCCTGGCCAGACCTCCAACTCCAAGCCGGAGTGGGCGTCTGCCAGCTCAGTGTCCGGGGTCAGACGGATTGTCAAGGGAGAGCCTTAGCACGGGTCACGGCACTGAAGGAAACCATCCAAACCTGACGGTTGACAGCCCCTTATCTGTGTGGCCCAGGCAGACATCTCCGAAGGCGTCTGCGAAAGAAGCTCCAAAGGCTCGATTGCGGATGTGACAGCATGCTTTCCGAGGACAACAGGATACCTTCAATGCAGCTTTTAACCTGAATAACAAGGGGTTCTGGGAGACCAAGACGTAGGAGACAAACCCTTTGTTCGCTTCAGGTCGCTGACAGCCAAATCCGTACGGCAGCACCAGCCTAAGAGCCTTGCAGACTGAGTCGCATGCAGTTTGAAGAGAGAAACTTAAAATTGAGAAGCCAACCTGTGATTCAGACCAGCCTTTTTCCAGTGTGGCATGTGCATGTCGTGCTTGAGAGCGATTTGAGAGGGGAGGGCTCTGCCACCTGAGGCATCAAGCGGTGCCTCTAAGGGAGGGAAGGCAGGGTCATGCGCGCCCGTACATTTGCTTTGCATAGGAATAGACCGGAATAGATGTAAAAGATACAATAGATATTTGATCGTTGCACCAAGATCTAGGGGGACTGACAGTCAATGGCAAGCGAGGGACTTCATATTCATATCTCCTGCTGCAATCAGTTATACGTGGAGCGCGGTGCCCATGATGAATCTATTGGCTTTCTGACAGCTAGAGAGTACCATGACACACCGTATAGATGTCATGTCCGAAGCAACAGGCTGCAGCGTTTCATTTGGATGACAGCACAACTCCATTAGAATGCGTTGGTCGCGTTTTCTTTGTCCAAAAGCCCAGCTGCTGGCATATCTAATGTCAAGGCAGAGTGATCCAATTGTCTTGAAACCCAGTCGGCAACGATGCGGTCACAGTCTTGATAGCGACCTCCGAAAGATTTCGGTGAGAACTGCAGTGCGCCCATTTGTCTTTCCACATCGTTGTGCCAGGTTAGTCACACCGAAAGGAGCCGCGGGCTTACCGGAGACCCAATTTGTTTGTTTGACTCTCCGGCCCATGACCTCCCTAGGTAAGTCAGAGTTCAGGCAGGGCGAGCCGGTTGCCGAGGGACTGTTGGAGCAATTCGGACAGTTGACCTATACCTACTGAGTTAACGTCCCGAGTAAGAATCCGAGCCGCTTGTCGACATGCTCGGGGTTCAGCTCATGCAGCTGCAGGTGTTCTCTCAATCATGGCAACCACGGGGTGCCATGTGGAGTAGGGATGTGCCTTGCCAGACCATGCTGAGCCTTGAGAATCACTTTTGCTTTAAAGGGCGTTTTCCTTCAAGGTTCGTGAAGGGGGGGGATTGGGCCGGAATTGATGCAAACTTCGATGTGTGCAGGCTTAAACCAGGCAATATGAGCTCGCAACTCCACTTGCCAGGTCTGCGGACATCTCGAGCAGCCATGGACCCGGGGCGGAGGGCGACCCTGTGGGTTTTCTGCTTGGCGCTGAGGCTGGGAGACGCCGTGTTGAGACCCCCGTAGGTTTCAGTTGGGTCAGATGCTGACATGGTATTAACCGGCTTCCACGTGAAAAATCATGAAATGAGCAGTCTTCGAACCAGCCACTTGGAGAGAAGCTTCCCATTTATGCCGCATGGTCCTCCTTGGACAGTAACTAAAGCCAGAACGTGATGAAATCCAGACCGTCAAACGATTGGGATGTGACCTGGCCATGGGCAAGGAAGGTCTTATCTACGTTTATCGCTGGTTTCTTACTGCTTTGGCAAGACATTGGAGGGGGCTGCCCAATTTGTCCAGCAAAATGGGCGAACAACATTCGGCTCATGTGATCGCTTGAAGGAGTGCCCGGCTTCAGAAATTGGAACGGACGTCGCCAGTCGCTTCGCCGCTTCGCGCCCGATAGAACTTGCCCATGGTGGGCGCAGCCGGAGTCCTGGTCTTACCCAAGAGGCAGGGGACATCGCGGGACATCGCGGGACGTGACATCGAGTTCTCTCGGGGCCAAAGTGGGCCCCGTGGTGGGCCCCGGCCTGGGCCAAGCCGCAGGCACCAGGTTGCAAAACCCGAGAAGCCCGAGAAGCCCGAGAAGCCGGAGAAGCCGGAGAAGAAGAAGAAGGCGCAGGCGGGCAACGGCCAGTTGGCTTTTAGATTTCCAAGATGCAAGTTCATCTAAGTTTCTAAGATGCCGAAGTTTCAAGTGAGGTGGACTTCACCGATCTGACGGAGCTCCTGGCAGTCCGCTTCCGAGCCTGTGCGAGCGTGTAGCAGCCGAGTGTATGAAGCGTTGAGGACGAGGAGCTCAGCGGCTGGGGTGACACGGGCGAGGCCCGGAGGTGAGGTCAGGTTAAGTCTGGAGGTTTTCCCGGTTTCACTTAGGTGCAGTCCTGGCAGCTCTGTGATAAGCGCCGGGAGCAACGGCAATTCAAGAAGTGCCCCGTTTCTGATTGCCGAGTTTGCCGAGTTTGCCAAGTTTGTTTCTTCACATGTCTTCATATTTCTCAGCTTCCTTCCATACAGGTACGTGGAGGAGACGAAGGGAGGGTCTGCACGGCTGCGACCATCACATGATCGATGCATGTTTCGAGGAGTCTGTGGCCAGCGGCGGCGCGAGCGCCATCGTAGTGGACGTGGACCTGGAGCAGGCAAAGCACCAAATCTGGCAGTCGAGTTTCGCTGGGCCCTTTTTGTCATCAATTGCTTTCGGAAACTGGAGGCTGATCATTGGTAGTGCGTCAGCCTTGCGCAAGGTGCGGGAGCTCACTTCTGAGCAGCCCCGGGCGAAGCCTGTGCAGGCGTCGAGCTTTGACCCCTTGGGCTGAGACCTACAGAGACATGCTCAATCTGAGTGATGCCTGAGACCCCAAAGCAAACACAGCAAACGGGCAAGTCGCATCCCTTCTGCCAGGGGCCGGGCATCCTTCAGCTGGCGCAGGACATGCAAGACTTTGATACATCGGCCTTTGAGCCGATGCCTATTGAGCCTCAGGAGCCAGCTCGCCGGGAGGAGTGCCCTGTGTGCAACGCAGAGCCATTTCCTCAGAGAGTGGCCAGTGTAGCCCCCTGAGTTTGCCCGCTTCAGGTGGGCCGTGGCTGTCCAGTGGATGGCAGAGGGCAAGCCGCCGCCGGAGAAAGATGCCGGGACCCAGTTGAAGCACGTTGAAGAGAAAGAGATATTGTCTTCGGCCTTGGCCCATGGCAAGCTTGGGTGAAGGCCAAACTAAGACGAAGAAATACATTGAAGAGTTAGCATGCGCATGCTCGATTGGACCCTTTCCCAACGGCAACAGTGCTCAGTACTCACAGAGATCTCACATGAAGCAAGGAACAGCGTTGCACTTGGTTCTTGAGCGCCCTTGCAAGGTGAGCATGCTTCAACCAGCGAAGAAGCAGCTTCTTGGCGAGAACTTTTGCAAGCATTTGCAAAAAGCATTGGCGCATTGTTTCATTTTATTTTATTCATCTCAAGTACTTACCTACATAAAAAAGGGATTGTGCCACCTACTTTCACCCGAGCTTAAAATGGAGCCTTCCGCACACAGGGCTGTTTTATACGTATGCGGGCAACGCAAGAATTCTCGGAATTCCAGCCACGAATTTGTGCCAACGGCAAATGTTAGCAGGCCTTTCATGCGTGTGCCAGGGAACATGCCGGTTCAGCTCTTGTGAGTGAAGGGCTCCTCTATCTCTGCCCTCCGGAGCCCCGGACCCAATGGTTTGATAAACACTGATAAACACCAAGGGGTCATTTTGTGTTGATCCAAACATTGGTGCAAAGACGCAAGGATCTGAGCTGTAACTCGTTCTTGCTATGCCCGGGGGGCTTGAGCCAAACCATGTGTGATGCATCGCAGGTATTCCACATGTATTTACACATATATCAGGGGAACCGGTTTAGGGCAATTTGGCTTGGAGCAGACAGCCCGTATTTTAGGGGGGTTTATGTACCACTGGGTTGCCATGATACTTTTGAGGGCCCTCTCGTTGGCGCAAGCCCCGTGTACTTTGTGGATTGCCCCACCATAGAATCTGATTCGGGAATACAAGCCGTTGACCTTTGGCGGAAAGGGAGGAGACTCGCAAGTCAAGGTCCCCGTGACCTATCAGAGTGCCTAGGCCCGGAGTTGCCCGGAAGTACCAGAAGATGCACTCCATCCAGTGCAATTGGGCCTGGCAGCAAGCTCAGCCAAGCCGGCCAAGCTCACCAACTCCGTTGCCAAGAGATAGATGATGTTCGCTGTCATTTGAAGTTGATCACTGAAAACAATGGAATCTCTGGCCATACCCGCTCCAGAGTTTCCCTGAACCGCCGCGTTTTACCAAGATCCCATCCAACAACTTCACACAACCTTCGGAACCCGCAGGAACCTTCCAAACTCCTCCAGAACCCTGCTCAGCAATGCTCCATTCAAAGGGATTGCGATTGGTTTTGGTGGGTTTCAGGGGTGTTTTGCTTGAGTTTCAGACAGCCACTGCGGCTAAAGGGGTTCTAGTAGCTGCTTGGGGATTCCGTCTGGGCTTCTTCCAAAGCAACTGTTTGTCAGCTTGTCGCCGGATGTTGTCGCTGGATGTTTATGCAATGTTCATGGGACGTTGGAATGATGTTGAGATGTTGTACGGTGATCGTATCAGAGCGTTGGCAAAGCGTGTCGTGCAAGCCTGCTTCGCTCCGTTGCTCCGTTGCTCCGCTCCGTTCCCCTGTTGTTCCGCAAAGCTGTTTCTCTCCGTTGCTCCGTTGCTCCGCTCCGTTCCCCCGTTGTTCCGCAAAGCTGTTTCGCTCCGTTGCTCCGTTGCTCCGCTCCGTTCCCCCGTTGCGCCGCAAAGCTGTTTCGCTCCGTTGCTCCGTTGCTCCGCTCCGTTGCTCCGCTCTGTTGCTCCTTTGCTCCGTTGCTCCGTTCCCCCGTGGTGGCGCAAAGCTGTTTCGCTCCGTTGCTCCGTTGCTCCGCTCCGTTCCCCCGTTGTTCCGCAAAGCTGTTTCGCTCCGTTGCTCCGTTGCTCCGCTCCGTTCCCCCGTGGTGGCGCAAAGCTGTTTCGCTCCGTTGCTCCGTTGCTCCGCTCCGTTGCTCCGTTGCTCCGTTGCTCCGTTGCTCCGTTGCTCCGTTGCTCCGTTGCTCCGTTGCTCCGTTGCTCCGTTCCCCCGTGGTGGCGCAAAGCTGTTTCGCTCCGTTGCTCCGTTGCTCCGCTCCGTTCCCCCGTTGTTCCGCAAAGCTGTTTCGCTCCGTTGCTCCGTTGCTCTGCTCCGTTGGCCCGTTGTTGCGCGGATCTGCCTCGCTCTGTTGCTCCGTTGCTGCGCTGCGTTGCCCCGCTCCGTTGCTCCGTTGCTTCGCTCGATTGGCCGTTTCTCCTAGAGCGAGTTTGGTCGTTTTTAAGAGCTGAGTTCCCGATCGCTAACTGACTCCCGAGTACTTCAGATAGCATGAGCAGCCTAAATGTCATGTTTATGAGGGCAAACCTCACTTTAAAGAAAGGTAGGTTGCCTCCTTTGCTTGAAGGCGAAAACCTGATGGCAGCCAAGCTTGCTAAGCAATCGATTTGAGCGACACGGAGCTAACCGGATTTGCGCGAGAAAGCCGGAAAACCGAGAAAACCAAGAAAACTGGAAAACAGAGAAAACCGATAAAACCGAGAAAGCCGTGAAAACAGAGGGAACCTAGAAGACCGAGAAAGCCCAAAGAACCCAGAAAATCGATGTTTGTGCGGTTTTCGCGTTTTCGCGGTGTTCGCGTTTCACGGTTTTCGCGGTTTTCGTGGTTTTCGCGGTTTTCGCGATTTGGCGGTTTTGGGGGCTTTCGCGGTGTTCGCGTTTTCGTGGTTTTCGCAGGTGTTCGCTGCGTTTTTGTTGTTAATAATATGTTTCAATCACTTGTGTTTTGAGCCCCAGCAGTCTCAGAGATAACATAGATAGATCGATAGGTACATAGGGCAAGATAGGATAGGACACGGTAAGCTAGGCCAACGTGGGATAAGACAGGATAAGATGGGATCAGACATGATAAGATAGGATATGACGGGAAAATACAGGATAAGATAGGCTCAGATAAGATAAGGCAGTACAATTTGTGATAAGATCAGATAAGGCAGCTAGGATAGATAAGGTAGATAGCACATATATATATATATATGTGATAGATATGATAGACAAGGTAGATAAGCCATGTAAGGTAGATCAGGTCGATAAGACAGGACCAATAGATAAGATAGACGCGATGAGATAAAGAGGACAAGCAGGAAAGATAGGGTAGATATGGTAGTTAGGAGAAAATCAGATAGATAGGATAGATAGATGATAGATAAACAGATAGACACATAGGATAAGATAGGCTACGGTCGGATAAGATAGGGTAAGGCACGGCAAGATAGGCTAACGTGGGGTAAGGTAGGACAAGATGGGATAAGGCAGAGTAAGATAGCATACGGTAATATAAGATAGGTTAAGGTAGGCCAAGACAGGATAATGTAAAGGTAGGTAAGGTAGACAAGGTAGAGAAGATAAATAGGATAGACATGATAGACAAGATAGATCAGGCAGGTAAGAGATAAGATAGATCAGATAGGTAGGATAGAAACGATTCATAAGCTACATGCGATGAGATAGATAGGAAAGATGGGACACACAGGGGAGACAGGATAGATAGGTAGATAGATTGATAGATACATAGGACAATATTGGGTAAGATAAGGTAAGACATGTCAAGATAGGGTAAGGCAGGATAAGGTAGGATAATATGGGGTAAGATAGGATGCGAGGGCTGCGATGGGATAAGATAGGACAAAGCAGGAAAGATAACTTAAGATAGGGTAAGACACGATAACATATGATAAGACAAGACAAGGTAGGTAATGTTGATAAGGTAGATATGATATGATAGATAAGAGCGATAAGACTTACATATACGATGAGATAGATAGGAACGATAGGATAGATAGGATAGCTGGGTAGGCTGGTAGATTGACAGATAGGCACATAGGATGAGATAGGTTAAGATAGGGACATGCAGAATAAGACATGATAAGACAGGATAACATGGGATATGATAGAATAAGAGAGGAGAAGACGGGGCAAGATAGGTTAATATAGGATTATTTTGGGTAAGGTAGGATGAGATAGGCTAAGGTCGGGTAAGATAGGGTAAGATAGGATAAGATGGGGCAAGACAGGATTGACTGATACATAGATGTATAGATAGATGTAATAGATAGATAATTCGGTTTATACAAAGGATACGATAGGCTAAGATAGGATAAGACACGGCAAGATAGGCCAACATGGGATATATAGGACAAGATAGGATACTACAGGATAATATAGGATAAGATACGACAATACAGGATACGATAGGAAAGACAGGATAAGACAGGATAATGTATAATAAGATAAGATTTGGTAGGTAAGGTAGATAAGGTAGGTAGTATAGATATGATCGATATGATAGACAAGGCATATAAGACACAACAGATAGACCAGATAGGTTGATATCTCGATAGATAGACACATGGAAGAAGATAGGACACGATAGGAGAAGATGGGAGAAGGTAGGATAAGACAGGATTGGACAGCATACGGCAGGATATGGTAGGATAATCGCAGCGTCGGAACGGCGCAACGGCGCGGCAGCGCAACAGCGCAGTGGTGAACAGCAGAACGTCGCGGCAGCGCAACGGCGGAGCGCAGCAGTGCAGCGGCGCAACAGCGCAACGGCGTAACAGCGCAATGGCGCAAATGCGCCAAGGCGCGACAGCGTAACAGCGCAATGGCGCAACAAAACGGCGCAACGGCGCAGCGGTGCAGCGGCGCAGCCGCGCAACGGCGTAACAGCGCAGCGGTGCAAACGCGCAACGGCGCAACAGCGCAGCGGCGCAACGGCGCAGCGGCGCAACGGCGCAGCGGCGCAACAGCGCAACAGCGCAACGGCGCAGCGGTGCAGCGGCGCAAGGGCGCAGCGGCGCAAGGGCGCAGCGGCGCAACGGCGCAGCAGCGCGACGGCGCAAGAGCGCAACCGCGAACGGCGCAGCGGCGCGACGGCGCAGCGGCGCAACGGCGCAGCGGTGCAGCGACGCAACGGCGCAACAGCGGAACGGCGCAGCAGCTCAACGGCGCAGCGGCGCACGTCAACGGAGGCGGCTTCAGCGGCGCAACAGCGCAGCGGTGCAGCAGAAAAGCAGCGCAGCAGCGCAACAGCAGAGCGGCGCAAAGTCATCAGCGCAGCAGCGAGCAGCGCAGCAGCGCAACAGCGCAAAGCAGTTTAGCGACACAGATCGCCAACACGCTCGATCGTATGATGCTGCTCGTATGATGCTGCTCGTATGATGCTCCAGCGATGTTCGAACGATGTGCGTGTGTTTTGTTTTACACGATGTTGATTTGGTGTTCATATGATGTTTTTGGATGTGCAGATGATGCCCGTATGTGGTTCACATGACGTTCACATGGTGTTTGTGCGATGTCTATGTGGTGTGTATGTGACTTTGGCATGATGTTTGTACGATGCGTGTTTGATGTTCATACGATTATTGTCTGGCGCTTCTATACAGTTTTTGTGAAGAGATGTGCAAACCATGCCTATATGGTGTTTATGACGTTGATATACTGAGCATATGATGTCAAGTTGATTCCCATTTGATGCTTGTATGTTCAGATGTTTAGATGATGTTCAGATGTGTTCAGGTGATGCTCAGACGAGGTCATGGAGCATGCATATGACTGCCACATGATACTCGTTTGATGATTGTGGTGTTTGTATGATGTTCATGTCATGTTTACATGATGTTGTTTGTGTGATGCTCGTATGTTCTCCATATGATGTTCGTATGATGTTCATTGAATGTTCATATGATGCACGTCTGATGTTGTTTGCATGATGTTCCTATGGTGTGTGTCATATGTGTGTGTTCGATTTTCGTACACACGCACAATGCTCATGGAATCCTCATATGAAGCTGTTTGCGTGATGATCATATTCTTTGAAAGGTGCTCACATGATGCTCACATGCTGCTTACATGCTGGTGACAGGCTGCCCACATGCTGATCACATGCTCCTCACATGCTGCTTGCATGCTGCTCGCATGCTGCGCACATGCTCCTCACATGCTGCTCGCACGCTGCTTACACGCTGCTCACATGCTGCTCGCACGCTGCTCACATGCTCCTCACATGCTGCTCACATGATGCTCGCATGATGCTCGCATGCTGCTCACATGCTTCTTACATGCTGCTCACATGCTGTTTGCATGGCGCTCACATGATGCACACATGCTGCTCACATGCTGCTCGCATGTTGCTCACATGCTGCTCGCATGCTTCTCACATGCTGCTCGCATGCTGCTCACATGCTCCTCACATGCTGCTCGCATCCTGTTCATGTGCTCCTCACATACTGCTCGCATGCTGCTGACATGCTTCTCACATGCTGCTCGCATGCTGCTCAGAGGCTCCTCACATGCTGCTCGCATGCTGCTCACAGCTGCTCGCAGGCTGTTCGCATGCTGCTCGCATGCTGCTCACATGCTCCTCACATGCTGCTCGCCCACATGCTTCTGACATGCTCCTTGCATGCTGTTCACGCGCTTCTCACATGCTGCTTACATGTTGCTCGCTTGCTGCTCACATTCTCCTTCCACGCTTCTCGCATGATGCTCAGAGGCTCCTCACATGCTCCTCACTCGCATGCTGCTCACATGTTGCTCACATGCTGCTTGCATGCTGCTCACATGCTCCTCACATGCTGCTCGCCCACATGCTTCTGACATGCTCCTTGCATGCTGTTCACATGCTCCTTGCCTGCTGCTTACATGTTGCTCGCTTGCTGCTCGCAGGCTGCTCACATGCTGCTTACATGCTTCTCACATGCAGCTTGCATGCTCCTCACATGCTTCTCACATGCTCCTCGCATGCTGTTTACATGCTCCTCACATGCTGCTCACATGCTGCTCGCTTGCTGCTGACATGCTGCTTACATGCTCCTTGCATGCTGCTCGCATGCTGCTCGCATGCTCCTCACATGCTGCTCACATGCTGCTCACATGTTTTTACATGCCGCTCACAGCTGCTCGTATGCTGCTCGCATGCTGCGCACGTGCGAGCATGATGCTCACATGCTGGTTGCATGCTGCTTACATGCTGCTCACCTGCTGCTCGCAGGCTGCTCACATGCTCCTTACATGCTGCTCACATGCTGCTTACATGCTGCTCACATGCTGCTCACATGATGCTGACATCCTCCTCACATGCTGCTCGCATGCTGCTCACATGCTGCTCGCATGCTGCTCACCTGTTCATCGGATGGTGCTCGCATGGTGCTCGCATGCTGCTCGCATGCTCCTTACATGCTGCTCACATGCTCCTCACATGCTCTTCACACGCTTCTCACATGCTGCTCGCATGTGCTCACATGCTGCTCGCACGCTGCTCACATGTTGATCGGATGGTGCTCGCATGCTGCTCGCATGCTGCTCACGCGCTTCTCACATCCTGCTCGCATGCTGCTCACATGCTGCTCGCATGCTGCTCTCATGCTGCTCACATGTTTTTACACGCTGCTCACATGCTCCTCACATGCTCCTCACATGCTGCTCGCATGCTGCCTGCATGGTTCGCACATGCTGCTCGCATGCTCGTGACATGCTGCTCGCATGCTCGTGACATGCTGCTCGCATGCTGCTCGCATGCTGCTCACATATGTTTCTCACATGCTCCTGGCGTACTGCTCGCATGCTTGCTCACATGCTCCTCACATGCTCCTCACATGCTGCTCGCATGCTGCTCACATGCTCCTCGCATGCTCCTCGCATGCTGCGCCTCACACGCTTCTCACATGCTGCTCGCCTGCTGCTCGCATGCTGCTTGCATGCTGTTCACATGCTGCTCGCATGCTCCTCACAGGCTGCTCACTTGCTGCTCGCAAGCTGCGCACATGCTTCTTACATGCATGCTGCTCGCATGCTGCTCACGCGGTTCTCACATGCTGCTCGCATGCTGCTCGCATGCTGCTCACATGCGCCTCACATGCTGCTCACACGCTGCTCGCATGCTGCTCGCATGCTGCTCGCATGCTGCTCACGCGCTTCTCACATGCTGCTCGCATGCTGCTCGCATGCTGCTCGCATGCTGCTCGCATGCTGCTCGCATGCTGCTCGCATGCTGCTCGCATGCTGCTCACGCGCTTCTCACATGCTGCTCGCATGGTGCTCGCATGCTGCTCTGCGCCTCACATGCTCCTCACGCGCTGCTCGCATGCTGCTCACACGCTTCTCACATCCTGCTCGCATGCTGCTCGCATGCTGCTCACGCGGTTCTCACATGCTGCTCGCATGCTGCACATGCGCCTCACATGCTGCTCACACGCTGCTCGCATGCTGCTCACACGCTGCTCGCATGCTGCTCGCATGCTGCTCACCTGCTTCTCACATGCTGCTCGCATGCTGCTCGCATGCTGCTCACATATGCGCCTCACATGCTCCTCACGCGCTGCTCGCATGCTGCTCGCATTCTGCTCGCATGCTGCTCGCATGCTGCTCACGCGCTTCTCACATGCTGCTCGCATGCTGCTCGCATGCTGCTCTGCGCCTCACATGCTCCTCACGCGCTGCTCGCATGCTGCTCACACGCTGCTCGCATGCTGCTCGCATGCTGCTCGCATGCTGCTCACACGCTTCTCACATGCTGCTCGCATGCTGCTCGCATGCTGCTCGCATGCTGCTCGCATGCTGCTCACACGCTTCTCACATCCTGCTCGCATGCTGCTCGCATGCTGCTCTCGCGGTTCTCACATGCTGCTCGCTCGCATGCTGCTCGCATGCTGCTCACATATGCGCCTCACATGCTGCTCACACGCTGCTCGCATGCTGCTCACACTCACATGATGCTTGTAGAAGTTTCTGTCTGACGACATCTTACGAACTTACCGGTGTTAGGTTCCAGCAGAACCTGTGCACCATGCTTTGCTCGCTGCGCTTCGACCCCCTGGGCGCGCCGCGGCCCTCTCCGCCCTCGCCCAGCTCTGCGCGGGCGCCCAGCTGTGCCTAACAACCACTCATTTCTCGCGGCTTTCCCGAAGCACAGATGTGGATATTTACACGCCCACTCACACAGGCGTAAACGCTTACATGTGTTTGGTTGCTCTTCTTTTCTTCGTTGGTAGTTGCTTGCAGTTTTCGAACAGTTCTGACGGGCCAGGGCTGTCCTGCGCTAGGTGCTTCCGCCGCCCATGTCGGATGTTTGGCAATATTGGAGGAAAGCAGGCGCCAGCTTCTCACAATGGGGAAGGGTGGAAGGGCAAGACTTGAAGGGCCGAAAAGATGAGACGCTGGCCAATGTTGGCAAGATGCAAGCCCTTTGTCAGGCAAAGCCGAAAGAAGTGAAAGAAGTCATGGCTGCAGCCCCAGAGTGCTCTGTCGCGCCCTACTGGCAAGCCGTGCGCCGTGCCTTTGGCCAAGGCCGCGACCCTGGGAGTCCCCGTGAGCGAGACTGAGGCGCGCAGCTTGTTCAACCGAAAGGGCCGTGCGCAACCTATCAGAGGCCACAGGGTCAATCCCTTCGCCTTTTTTTGGCTTTGCTTGACGCACAGGCCTCGAGTGGAGCACGCTTCTTGGGTGAATTTTCCAACCGAATTGAGGCATCGCGAATTTGGACAGAGAACGGATTTCGTTCTCTGGGACTTGGGCCGCGCGCCTCGCGGCTGTGAAGGTCAGTCGCCTTTCCGGCCAAAGTTAAGCTCGGAGTCTCACAGTTCCGTGGAGCCCCCAGATGCTAATTCAGCGGCGCCTGCGTGCGCATTGGCCAAGAATAGGCAAAAGTGCAGGGATTGAGGGGTTAGTCTTCGTTGTTTTTGAGAAACAATTGAGAGCCCTGAACCAAAGCCCTCCAGCAGCTTCTCCCAAGGAGCGAGCCACTGGAAGGCAAACAGTAGCGGGAGCCGACATCCCGTCAGCGCAAACGCGCGCGGCCGACGGCTGATTGAAATTCTGAAAGGGCCCCTTCCGTTCCGTTTCAAGACCAAAGGGTCGTTCCGTTTGGCATCGGTGCCGGTAAACAATACCCAGAGGCAGATGTGGGAAGTCAGGGTAATTGCGAAAAGGCAAGTTTGTTGCTTACCCTGAGTCCCCTTGCCCTTGCTCCATGGCACGGGGCGGTCTCACTCCTGAAGCGAAACAGCGCGCGATTGCAGCCCAAGTTGTTGACGCTTGTCCGCTTGAGGCCCATGCGATTGCAAATGCCATGCGCCGCTTGGATTGGTGAGATCTTTGAGCCCTGAATCCCTGGAGCCGGCATCTGCCTTTCGGCGCAAGCACCCGCCGTGGAGTGTCGGAGAGCAGGAGCCCCAAGGGAGCTGGCTTTGCATGACTTTGGCGTTCATTGTGACACTTCCAGGGACCTTGAGTTGGGAGTCCGTGACAACAGCCATGAACCCTGCCGTTCCCCGAGGTGAAATCAGCCCAGGACTGGCGGAGTGCACAGTGAGAATCAGTGAATGCCTCGATTCAAACGTGCACCTTCGTGGGAACCCGCATTGAGCATGATAAGTGTGTATAAGATCCAACGCAGCAAGAGGCCGAAGCCAAGCCAATCCCTGAAGGAATGGGAGAGGGACACAGCCAGCTTCACCAGGATCCCCGGCCGCACAGAGTGCAATCTGCTTTGCAACCGCCTTTGTTCGCTTCGTTTTCGTTGCAAGGATCACATGACCAGCCGCAGCCTCAGTAGCCTCAGCGGGAGGCTTCTCTGGGCAAGGGCGAAGCTCAGCGTGTGTTCCATGCCGAGGCTTCCTTGACGCCCACAAGGCGCTCACGACGTGTCAGCGTGCAAAATGCATTTGGGGGGAACATCTTCGAAGCATCCAGTGCACGCAAGCCAGTGCAGACCCTGAAACTTGCACATCTTGCACGTTTCAGATCACATGCTTTCGGACATGCTGGCCTCTCGATCGTACCGGTTTGTCAGATCATGATGCCTGGCACGCAGCCGCAGGACTCGGCGATTTTGGGTTGGGATCGGTCTGGGCTCATGTGTCCCTTGTGGCTAGCTGAACGGGCGTGATTGACATCAAAGGGGTGCATTGGTGCTTTGGTGCTTTGGTGCTTTGGACCGTCTCCAGCTTTCGAGTTTGAGGCAATCAGACATTGCAATTGGCAGGACAGCTCTGCAACTGGAGGTGAGTTCGTGAAGCCAAGTGAACCTGCCCCAAATGAAGCTTGTTGCTGAGCCTTGAAGCTTCCAGCTTGCAGGCGACGTGCTCCAGAATTACGAGCACTAGCCTCAGAGTTGCGAGATCGGTCATGCACAGCCGAGCTTCATTGCGACATGATGCAATCCCACATGTGATCTCCTTGCGCAACCACTACCACAATCTTGGAGGCCGTTTTCAGGCAAGGCATTCGCATCGTTCGCGCGGAGTTTGAGGCCTGCGTTACTGGCGCAGTTGGTGCAGCTCCTCGGCCAGCCCGGGGCCTGAGAGTGAGAGAATTGGCGCGGTTGCAAGCATCTTGGATTTCGGAGAAGTCTCAGCGCTTTGTTGCTTTGCCTTGGGATGCTTTCGGGTGCCTTCGGGTGTTTGCGGATCCGAGGCGCCCCCGGCACTCGCTGCTCCTCTCGGACTTGGGTGCCTTGCTGCCCACGCGGGGTCGCCCGGTCAGCCAACTCCGATGGGAACGCCATGCGTGCCGCGCGAACGCGTAATGCGTTGCACCGGGTTTGCAGTTGCAGCGTGCGGACAGGAATCTCCGGCAGTCCGTCAAGGAGAAGGGAGGCCTCAGGACTGAGCCTACTGAGCCTACTGAGCCTACTGAGCCTACTGAGCCTACTGAGCCTACTGAGCCTACTGAGCCTACTGAGCCTACTGAGCCTACTGAGCCTACTGAGCCTACTGAGCCTCTCAGCCAGCCCCAGTCTTGTGTGTGCATATCACTCCGCGAGTGAGGGTTTGTGCCGGAATCTCTGTCGTGGCTTGCCCGTAGCTGTAGATGCAACATGATGCAACATGATGCAACACGTACCAACAGAGAGCCAATTGTCCAGCGAACCAGAGTGGGGGGCCCAGCGCCCGAGCGCCATGCCGGCGCCCAAAGAGCCAAGCAAATGGCGCCTCGTTTGAACCTTTGAACTGAGCAAGCAAAATGGGCCAAGGGCGTCCGCCGGCAAAAGGCACCTGGTAAGATGATCAGGACATAAGTGCAATCCATGCAAGCTTTACTTTTGGTCCTATGGCACTTTGCTGCCTAACTCTGAGGCAAGATTATGGATATTTATGGATATAGGGAATGCGCCAATCGATTTAAGGCTTCGGTGTGCGCCCTCCTGTGTGCCAACCGGTGAGTCGCAGTCGCGGCTCCACAGCCTCACCTCTCTGGAGGAGAGAGGTGAGGCGATGGCCCATGTGTCATTTACGGGGTTTTGTCCCGTTTTTGTTGTGTTTATTTTTGTCAATTGTATAGCGGGTTCCGTTTTCTTGATGTTTTTTTAGGTAGTTGTATGGTCTCTTCTCTGGGGGCTAGTCAGGCTGGTCAGGGCGGCGGGATGTTTGGATTTGGTTGGCTGCATCGAGGAGCAGCTGGAGATTTCCTTCGGGCAGCTGCGACAAAGACTCTCTGAGGTGTCTTGGAGGTTTCAAGTGGTTTAAGCACGGGAACAAGTAACGGAAATCCCATCGGTGGTTTCAGCTTTGGCAAGGTGCATGAAGAGTTAGCCTCGAGCCAAGCGGAACTGCCCGAGATGGATTCGTATGCGCTCTCATCTGTCCGGAGGCCGACCGTTCGTTTTCTGGTGCCCATGTGGGAGCAGGAACATTTGGTACCTTTGAACAGGAAGAGCCGTTGTCCCCGTCGCCCACGCCACCCACGCCAGTCTGGTGATGCCGCACATGGACGGGTCCTCCAACGCCTTGGAGTCAGCCGTTGAGCAGATCCCCCGACCCAGCCGCTTCCTCGGCGCTTCTGAGGGGTGGAGGGGGAGAGGAAGATGGAAAAGGGGCTTGGCGGCACTGCGGCACTGCGGCACTGCGTAGATGTGAGTAGGCTGTGCTGCAGATGTTTGCCAAGGGTGCTCGTGTATGGGCACTTGTTTGATGCCGTGGATCGGTTAGTTTGGCATGTCAGGCATGGCCATGCAGTCGCACTCCGTGCTCGAGGCGGGCTGGCAACGGATGCGGAGTCGGAGTGAGAGACCGAGAGACACGGTAGGTGCCGGCGGTACTGGCACGACATGCCTCTGATCCTCAGGACGTGATTAAATACATTCGTTTGGGAAAGCTTTGGTGCATTCCAAACCATCCGTGGGGTTTTCTCGGCTTCAGAGGCGTTCCCACAATAACTTTGTTTGCACACTGCATGTACTTGAGTACTTTAGAGCCTCCGGCTCAGTCCGCCGACATTGTCCTCTCCCTTTTCTTCTTCTTCCTCTCTGCCTTGTCTCCCTCGTGCGTTCTGTCGTCCTCTCTCCCTCCCTCTGCTCCCCATCCTCCCCATCCTCCCCATCCTCCCCATCCTCCCCATCCTCCCCATCCTCCCCATCCTCCCCATCCTCCCCATCCTCCCCATCCCCCCAAGCCTCTCTCTCCTCAATCTCCCTCTCCCTCTCCCTGTCTCTCTCTCTCTCTCTCTCTCTCTCTCTCTCTCCCTCTTCTCTGTTTCTGTGTCTCTTTCTGTCTCCCTGTCTCCTTCCTGTCCACGCCCCTCTACAGAAAAAGGGTACCCCAATTCGAACCTCTCTACTCTCTCACTTTCTTGCTCTCTCTCTCTCTCTCTCTCTCTCTCTCTCTCTCTCCCTCTTCTCTGTTTCTGTGTCTCTTTCTGTCTCCCTGTCTCCTTCCTGTCCACGCCCCTCTACAGAAAAAGGGTACCCCAATTCGAACCTCTCTACTCTCTCACTTTCTTGCTCTCTCTCTCTCTCTGTCTTTCTGTGTCTCTCTTTCTCAGTCTCTGTCTTTTTCTCTCTCTCTCGCTGTCGCTCTCTCTGTCTGTCTCTTTCTCTGTTTCTCGGATTCTGGCTCTGTCTCTGGCTTTGTCTCTGTCTCTCTCTCTCTCTCTCTCTGCGTCTCTCTCTCTCTCTCTCTCTCTCTGCATTGCAGTCACGTCCCCCCCTGAGTTGCCTCGATGTCCGGGCACGGCCCCTGCATGACCCGGAACTGTCATCTCACTACTGGCTTTCCCCTTGATTTCCCCTTCATGTCCTTTTCACGTTTCCCATGATGTCCTGGTCCTGTCCCTTCCAGGCCGTTCAACACCTACCAAAGGGTATGCCTTAGTTCAGATAAAATCCCCTCAACCAACCACTTCAACCATATAACCAACTGGCGCACGGCACCTCAACCAATTTTACCACCTAAATCCCTCAATCCCAAATTTCAAATCCCAAATTCCCAAATTCCCAAAATATAATTTTCCAAATTCCCAAATTACACCAGCCTCGACCCCAAACAGCAAAAAAACATGACCGGTCTGTGTAGCCCAAAAAAGGCTGGTCTCCTTCATGTAAGGTGCGAACTTGTGTAGCTTATGTGAGCAACACATAGTTACAATCAGTCCGTGTGTCCCTGCAGGAAGTCCCCTTTTTTGGGAAGAGGACACATCGGGTCCATCCATCTCCTTGACGCCGGGTAAAAGCATCGATGTTGTTCATCGACTTCGAGGAGAAAATTCCATGTCAATGCCATGTTCGAGAGTGAAGGCCCCGGGGATTCGGGGTGAATCAGCCCAACACCTGGCATTAACCAAAGGAAGTTTCGAAGGAACTTTTCAATGCACTTTTCCATCACCGCAGCATTTGGTGGCCGTCTCGCTACTCTGCTGAAACTTGCGCATCAGTCCCAGCAGCCTGCGGGCGAGACTGGAAACATGTCACTTCTTGTTGCTATCTTCTTCTCGAGCTCGGCTAAAGGTCTTGCCACAAGCAAAGCAAGAGAGCGCTTGCATAAACTTGCAGACTGCGCCTTGTAGCGTTACGGCCGGGACATCCTCGCCTAGCAACGCAGACACACGCCGCGCCAAATTGGCAAGCGTCAGCAAAGGTGCCCGTTTGGCGCGCACCTCTGTCACCCGGCGCAGCTCCAGCAAATTGTCAGTGTTTGAGCCGGCAGTAGCTTGGTCATCCAGGGTCTTCATCTCTGTCGTGTCTAGCGCGCCGCGTGCTCCCAAGATGGCCAACGCATGGCCCTGCTCCATGCGCCCAACGCCGCTCCATTCCGGAACAAGCTTGGCTTTGAATGTCAGCTCCAGCCCCGCTCCATCGCGGAAACGTGTGAGAACTTACCATTTCTGGGTGCGCAGTGGACACCACCAGCTTGGCCGGGTTCATCTTGGAGTTGGCGCTTATGGTTCGCAGATTAGATTGGTGTTCACATGTGTGGTGAAGGACCGGCGGCCGTCGTTCCAGCGCACGCCGCTGGCAACAACTTCTGGGCCTGGCGTTCACTCAGCTCCAGCAGCACAGTAATCAACTGGCCGGGTTCATGCACTTTTTCCAAGTTGTCAAGGTCAGCGAAGTAGGTAAAGGCTCCTATGCATCAACCAAGTTTTTCGAGGAGAGCTCGACAAGTGCAGGGACGATGCGAACAACTCTTACAAGCTAATGGTTTGGTTGGGGACCCGACTCACCCAGGCTTTACTTCCAGGACCATTCTTTCTGGAAACCGGTCAGAAAAAACCTTGGAGCTCGGACCCCCCCTTGCGATGCAACAAGATGATAAGCATGCCTGCTTGACTGTGTGTTCGCTCGTCCCTCTCTGCGATAGCACCAGATCTCCAAGAGCAAGTAACCAGGAAACCACCAAGCCTCTCTCTCTCTCTCTCTGTCTGTGTCTCTCTCTCTCTCTCTCTCTCTCTCTCTCTCTCTCTCTCTCTCTCTCTCTCTCTCTCTCTCTCTCTCTCTCTCTCTCTCTCTCTCTCTCTCTCTCTGTTTGCATTGCAGCGTCGTGTCCCCCTGAGTTGCCTCGATTTGCGTGCGCTGCCCCTTCATGACCCCTGCTTGTCTTCTTTCTACTCGCTTTCCCTGATTTTCCCATCATGTCCTTTTCATGTCTCGTCATTTCGCATGGTATCCTCGTCATGTCCCCTTCCTTTCAATTTCCCCTTCATTTCCCTGGCATTTTCTTGGTATGTCCGCATCATGTTCCATGTATGTCCCTTTCATCAGTCATTTCCCTACATCTCCCTTTGTGTCCTTTGGTTTCCTCGTCCTTTGTTTCCCTTTCATTCCCCCTGTTCGCTGCATGTACTTGTTCATGTGTGTTTTTACCCATGATGATCTTTTCGTGCGACATTCTGGTGCTCGATGCTTAGCGGGGTGCAGGGGTGCATTCACATCATCAAACATAGTGTTCGGGGTGTGTCTGATTTGTTGCCTCTTTGCCGCCATGGCTGTTTGCATTGCCAAGCAAAACAAACGCAAATCTGACATGACGAGCGCTGAAATATCTTTGGCGGCTCCGCCTGTTTTACAGGCATCAGCAAAATTTGCTGCGGGGCACTCAAGGGGCAGCCAGCACCAACGCATGCAACCGAGCATGGAGCCTCTGCCTGCACCAGTGCGAGCTACAAGGGGCAGATTTCACCCAGTTCCTTCTGGCGATTTCGTCTTGTCAGCTCCGCTCAGACATCCGGCGCCAAGAAGTTTGCAGCGCGCTGCTGATGCTGCGGTTTCCACTGAAAAGAGCTGGTTGGCTGACTACAAAGCAGATTTGTGTGATATTCTTCCTGCGCCAAGACATACAATATGCGACGGGTATGTGAAGACAAGTGAGCTTGGCAGCAAGCCTAAGATTCGTGGCAGCGCTGACACTTTTACTACCATGGCTTCAAAGCACGCGGCAAACAAGCGTAAGGCCAGACTCTTATGGGATCAAGTGTTGCTTTGTGTCAACCACATCAGCGACCATGGTGTTTTGCGTGCTTCGCACACGCAGAGAATTCTGAGCCGCTTCTCTGACAACACAATTGTGGCTTATTCTTGCAAGGCATTGAGTTTGTTTCAGCACCTGCAGGATTTGAAGATCGAATTGAAAAGTTTCAGTGTGGTGCAGTTGGCTGATGCTTTGGAATCCTTGCTGGACAGTGAGGATATCATGCTTTCCCCAATTGGTGCATTGAAGGCGTTGCGCTGGGTTGAAAAAACGGCATCAATTTCATGCTGGCCAGACTTGTATGATTCCTTGTTGAGTAGTTTCTTGATCCCTCCTGATTTCAGGGAGCGTAGGGAAAGCCTCCCACTGCCTTTGTTTCTATTATGCCAATGGGAGCTGGACATCCTTTTTCGTCGGCGCCCAGATTCAGAGCTTGCCTTTCTGGGCGCTTGCCTCATGTGTGTGTATTCAAGTCTGCGTTTCAGTGATGCTCAGCATGTACGATGGGATTCTGTTTGCCTCGAGACTGATAACATCAGGGCCGTGTCCTACCAAACGAAGACAAGTCGTAAAGGCATGCCATTCGGATGCTTTTCTTTTGGGCTAATGGGTTGTCCTAAGTGCAATTGGATGGAAGTATGGCTTTCAATTCTGGAAGCTTATTGGAGATCGTCACGGTCTCATTTCGGAAATGACATAATCCCGGATTACTTTTTCTTCGAGCTCTCGGAAGGTGCCATTTCTGAACCCATGACTTATGGCCGAGCGCTCAGCTGGTTCCGGTATTTCATTGCGGACACTGGCGGAGGAGCAATTCACCCTGCAGTCCGCAAGCAGTACACGTTGCATAGTATGAAGAGCACCATTTTGAGCTGGAGCCATCAGCTAAATCTGCCCCCCGAGGGCAGGTTAGTCCAGGGACACCATAAGTCCCCTCAACTGGCTAGCTGCAGATTGTATTCGAGAGATGATGTGCACGGCAGCTTGATGCTACAACGTTTTATTTGCAGTTCGGTCCAAAAGGGGTGGCGACCGGCCACTCCTTTACACCGAGGAGGGCAAGCTCCACTGTCGGACCCAGCAGTTGATTTGCAGCTCCCCAGTTTGTTGGCTGATTTCAATGGCTCTCTTGAATTGTTTCATCGTGTGCCGCCCAGCCACGTGGCGCCTGACATGCAGAATTTCGCACGCGATCTGGCAGATTTCCAATTACGGCCGGGTAGCGCGCACAGTGAAGAACCTTCTGTCTTCAACAGTGACCTGCTACAATTGCCTGCGCTGAAGCAAATGGTGCACCTTTTGTATTTGGCAGGCGGAGCAGGAGGTCAGGGGCACTTGGAGCAACCTGCCAATGCTGTTTCTTGGGAGGAAGATGTTGTGCAG